GGAATCGGGTTGTTCCAGGAGAAGACGGGGATAATTCGCTGTGTGTGATTAAGGGGGAAAGTAAAAAGAAGGTCTGAGGCGTTTCCTGGAATTGGAGTGCGGTCACTTTGCACTGATGATATGCAACGTCATTTAAAGCATACACCACCCATTGGATTTTCGTTTTATCGTGAAGGCCTGATCATAGCGTGGATTACACAAATAGGTATGCCTAATTCACCAACCGCATAGGTGTGGGGGTGTCAGTGCCGGTTAGTGTCCAACATCCACAAACAAACTCACCACCCTCAAGTCATTGCCGACTCAGAGCAGCCTATAGAACAGAGTAGAACGGCCCCTGTGGGTTCTGAGACTGTAACTCTTCACCAGAGCAGAAAGCCTCCTCTTTCTCCCCAGGAGCAGCTGCTGCCCTGTGGTTATCACCCGTGTGCATAACCCACGATGCCACCAGGGCCCCCATGCTGGGCAAACATAGTACCACCCGCACTAACTTACTGCCTCACAGTTCCTGGGGGTCAGGAATTCAAGAGCAGCACTAGCTGGGGCTTCTAACTCAGTGTTTTTTGTGAGGTTGCTGTTAAGCTGGCAGCCAGGGTGCCAGTCTTAGTATCTGAAGCTTGCCTGGGGCTACCGGAGCCATTTGCAAGCTGGCTCCCCCAAGTTGGCCGTGGCTGGAGGCCTCAGCTCCTCTTCGCTCAGGTGTCTCCGGAGGGCTGCTAGAGGGTCTTCACAGGACGGCAGCTGCTTCTTGATGAGGCGGCCCAACAGGTGGTCCCTGTGATGCCTTTCACCTCTGAACTTGTCTCTTGAGGAGAGAGCTCCGGCTTCCTTTTGGTGGGCGGGTCTGGGTTTCCAGAGGGGAACATCCCCAGTGGCCGTTTTGGAAGCCGGCGAGCACCGGGAAGCCAATAGGGTGCTGCTGTCAGGAGAGGTCAGAACAAAGCCCCGTGAAGAGCCCGGACTTACCCCCAGGTTGCGCTGCTGGGAAGTGGCTCAGCTAGCTCTCCGTCGGACTCTGAGTCGCACGCTTGTGTTGTCACCCCGGGAGGATAGGGGCCTCCCACAAGAGGTGATGATAAAGTCTCCCTATAAAGAGTTCTTGTGGGGAGCGTGTCACTTCTTTCGGTTCGCTCTTCCCCTGGACATTCATGAAGGGGGTGCCCACCTGGAAGGCTGCCTCCCCACCTAAGAATGGTGTTTCTGTTTTAAAGAGGTGTCCAGGAATGACTCCTGCTCCGATTTGCCCGAGATTCAGAACGGCTGGAAAACCACCTCTCACACGGAGCTCGTGCGTGGTGCCCGGATCACCTACCAGTGTGACCCTGGCTATGACATCGTGGGCAGCGACACCCTCACCTGCCAGTGGGACCTCAGCTGGAGCAGCGACCCCCCGTTTTGTGAGAAAAGTAAGAATGCCTGTTGTGTTCTTCTCCTGGGCCCGTGTAGGGATCAGCCTCACCCATGGGAGAGTTTCTGCACAGGTGCAGTGGAATGGGTTCATGGAGAGTCTGTCCTCCCCCATGCCACCCACCCTCATTGGGGTTGCTCAGAAAAATCATCGTGTACTCCCACAAAGCTCAAACCCAGTTCTTTCAGAAGCCTCGCATTATGAGGACCACTGAGTCAGTGCCATTGAATCCTAGCGCAACCCAATAAGACAAACTAGAACTGCCCCTGGGGTTTCCAGCATGTGTCCATCTTTATGGAAGCAGACAGCCTCGTCTTACTCCCACGAAGCTCAAACCCAGCTCTTTCAGAA